AATAATAATAATAATAATAATAATAATAATAATAATAATAAAATCAATATTTTCTCTCAGATATAATCTTAATAAATACAAATTGGGATGTATCGATGAACTAATGAATATTAGTTGGACGAAATTGAGATAATCAATGATTGGCAGCATTCCGAACACATCATTATCAACAAATCATTATCAGACAACAAATGGTTGTTATGTGTGATCTTTGTACCCAATGAACTATTTTTTTTTTTCTGTGAACACTTTGAACAACAACGATATATCCATTTGTATGTTTAGTTAGTTTTATCATTTTCAATTCTTACTATGAACTCCATTTCATCATTAAAATTTCATTTACAATCATCAAAATATTTCATACGTAAGGATTTTTTTCGGTATGTTTTTAATTTTTATTTTTTGATCAATTTTAATTAAAATAAATTTAAAAAAAAAAGCAACAAAAAAATCAACAAATGTCTGCATTTTCCTGGAATATTTCTCATTCACATTACTAGCTTACATGATATATCATAATAATGCAATTAGCTAGATCTCATTTAAGTCGCGGAAAAAAAAAAGTAGAAAAAAGTTTATGTCTTATAAAATATTTCGTTGAAATATATATATATATTTCAAAAATACTAATAATATCAAATATTCTTTGATACATTTATGCAAAATGCATTATGACATAGGAAAGAGATGAAATTTGTAAAAGAGATTTTAATTTTTATTAAATATATTGTCAATGTTGCTAATAAAACAATCGAATTATGAAAGCATTTTGAAACTAAGCAAATTTTCATCATTTAATTTATTCATAATTTTACATTCATTCATATGTAATAAATTAATCATATTTTGTTATTTAAACAAAAAAAAAGAAATTTTTTTTTGAAAAAGAATTTATAACTGAGAAATTAACTTTAAGAAAAAAAAAAATTAGCATGTTTTAGCCATTTTACAATTAATAAATTACAAAAATTGTTTATGATATCTATTTTTTTTTTTAATGGTATATTTTATGCAAAATATATAAACAAAAATTGTTCAACATTTTAGGAATTTTTTCTTAAAATTTCGAAATTTTTGATGATATTTTAAGTTAATTTTCAGATTGAAATCTTGGGAAGCAGAATTTCAACAAGCTATCGAAAAAGCAAAACAATTATCAGATGGCCAGGATGTATCAACAAAATTGAAACTTTATGGTCTTTACAAGCAAGTAATTTTATCATTCTTTTATCATATTAATAGCAATATCTTTATTATTTTTGATCTTTTCCTTTTTTTTTCCTAATATTCATATAACTATATCATTCAAAAGGCAACGATTGGTGATGCTAACAACAAACAACCATCATTATTATCACCTTCACAAGCAAAATATGATAGTTGGATGGAATTCAAAGGAAAATCAATGGTATTTTTTTTTTCAATTAATTAAGCTAATTAAACTTCATACTCTATCAACTGTCCCATTTCTTTCGCGTTTATTAATCTCTTCTCCTCATATTACAGTTTGCAATTTTATCATTTAATATTAAGGATAAAGGATAAAAGATGTACATTAATGAAATTAATTAAATTTTATAATTTGTCAATTGTCACTTTTATTTTACGCTTTCTATCCCTTCTCCTCATATTTGAGTTTGCAATTTTATCATGAAATATTTCAGGATGAAGCACGAAAAATGTACATTGATTTGATTAATAAATTATCTACAACGACACTAAAAGTTTCCCAATCAACAGTTTGTGATAGTCTAAAACCGACACCTGGTCTTGATATTATCATTGAAGATAAGATTTTATGGATAAAGCTTAATAGGCCAAATAAATACAATGCTTTAACTTTAGAGGTGTGTAATGGGAAACTTTTTCGCATTATTTACAATTTTTTCAATATTTTAAAATATTTAAATGATATTTACTTGAATAAATAATTATGGAGCTAATTAAATTTAAGCTATCAAGAATTTATCATTGATATTAAACGCAAAGATACGCGTGAAATTAACATACTTTAAATGTTATACAATGCTTTACATAGCACAATAATACCTTATAATATGAGAAATTGGTTAAATAGAGGAAGATGATTGATTTAATTTTAAACTAAAAATTAAGATTTAGATGTATGATGGTATCAAAAATGCCTTGAATTATGCAAATGAGATTGATACAACAGTTACCGCATTTATCGGTAAACATTCTTATCAATATCCATAATATCATTTTTATTTTCAAGTACTTTTCAAGCTTTAAGCACTTTTGTCAAAAGTTTGGGAAATGTTTCATAGCATTTCTGAAACTAACAATTTTTGGTTGACAGGATCAGGTCAGTATTTCTGTAGTGGTAATGATTTGTCGAACTTCACTAAAGCTAATGATTCCAAGGACACATCACGTATGATTTCTAAAATATCTCAGTTGCTGAGTTCTTATGTTACTGCTTACATCAATCACAAGAAAGTTTTGGTTTCACTGGTTAATGGTCCTGCAATCGGTATTGCTGTTACTGTACTTCCTTTATTTGACCTGGTTCTAGCTTCTGATAAGGTTTGTTGTGAATCAACTTTTGTTTTGATTTCAGTAATAGCCTTTTTTTAATTATTACTATTCAAACAAACTTATAGGTGGATATATTTCAAATTTCTAGGCAACATTTAGTACACCATTTACATTGCTGGGACAATCTCCGGAAGGCTGTTCATCGTACACATTCCCAATGTTAATGGGACATAGCAAGGTTTGTGATGATTTAAACAATAAATGAATAAGTTAATGGACAAATGATTTTGTAACAGACGCAAATGGAAATTGATTTCAAATGATACTATAGCTCGAGACTCATCAAATAATCTCATGACAAAACCACATACTTTCAATTCAAATAAAATGACACGATTTAGACGGAAATCATATATCTTGTACTTTTAAATCATTTCAGGCATCAGAAATTTTAATTTTTGATAAAAAATTAACTGCACAAGAAGCATTTGAGCGAAACCTGGTATGTCGGGTGATCCCATCATTCAGTTTTCGAGAAGAGGCAGAAAATTATATACGAAAAATTTCGCAATTACCGTCTGAATCATTGTTCTGTAACAAAGAATTACTCCGAAACATCCATCGTGAAGCACTTCTCGCACAAAATGAACATGAGATTTCTTTGCTTATGCAACGTTTGCAAAGCGTGGAGTGTTTGAATGCAATACAACGATTTATGATAAGAAAGAAATGACCTTTCCAAGGATTCTTATTTTTTATTTTTAAATACGAATTAAATTTCAAAAATGGAATTCGAGAATTGAAATAAATAAAGAACTTTGTTTATCACTGGTACAGCAAGCGCATTTTAAATATAATTTATCCGGAAGAGTTCCTGAAGGAAGACTCAGGAAGAGAAGAGCATCCGGCCAAACTTCAAAGGCATAATCGTCCGCCTAACTTTTCACTTAAAAACAGAACAATTGAATATATGAAACAACTTCCTTTCTTTTGAGAATTATTTACAGAAAACAGTCGATTTGTTCAATAAAAGATTTCTAAGAATTTCCCTAAATTCCTTAAAACTACACAATTTTATGAAACAACCCGTCTTCTAACCAAACGTTTTCTTTGTCCTAACAATATCTTGATCTTACCATCTATAAATGCTTCCGGAAAGATAATCATAACCAAATTCGACTGAACATTAAAATTGTGTTTAACAGGATATTTCTACATTACCGAAAGACGAGAGAGTTTGTCAGAATGTGTATAAGAGTTATCAAAACCAATCATTCCAAGTTAATTTCGCCCCTGTTCGCCATTTGCAGCAGCAGCAGCAGCAGTAATACGAAGATCATTTTTAAGAATGGTGGCACATGTCTGCGCTTCGCAATCTTTTGTGGCACCATCTAGCAAAATCATCTTTTGCTCAGCACATCTATCGCAAGCAGGAATACGTATTACAATGTACTGTGGTTCCTGGAAGGTTTTTAAATGAACTCTAAGAAATGGCTAAAATTTTCAACTTTCAAAAGTGTGAAAAAACAAACTGAGAGATGAGATTCTGTATGATTCCATCATCTTGTTCAGATGTAACTATAACCTACAGAATTACACTACTTGGCTTTGGTGGTGATTACCTCCACTTTCTGTTGCCCCTCTATCACGAAAAAATACCATTTATTTGGAGTCCAAGGAAACAGTTTTTTCATAATTTCAATACAAGTCCATATTTCAAAATTGAAGAGATCTGTAAGTTTCCGAAGCACAGTAATAATATCAAGAACAGAGTAAACCTTTTGATAAACTTTCCGATCGCATACAACACAGCAAAAATTTGGCTCTTCCTGTTTATGACAACCATTTGTTGGAGTGACTTTGATACCTAGAAAACTGTACTGTCCAACTAATCGTTTAGTTTTAAAAGACGAAATAAAAGTAAGAGAAAATCATCAAGTAAAAGATACACACCTGGAATTTGAGAAATGCATCTCCGACCGTTAATATTTTTTGATACTGTATCGCCACCAATACCTCCGGAAGATACAATTCCCGTCCTTTCACTATAGGATTCATGATCACTACGTTTTCCAGGACCTTCGCCTGAGAGCACAATAGACTATTATTAAATCAGTTTCAACAAAACTACGACAGTAAAAAAAGAAGATATTGAAAAGAGGGACTGACTTAAATTTATGAAAATATACCGTGAAGTAATCGTATCTCATCTTCGCTAACCCATTCGAAATGCCCATCACTGAACTGCACTTTGTATCCTCCACTCTGCCTGCAGTACTTAATTGTGGCTGAATATACTTTACCATCTCGTTTAATTTCAACCTCAGTGCCTATTAACGACAGTTGTGAGTCGACATGGTGCTCTTCTGAAACAACTGTCACCAACATCATTACCTTTTAAACAAGATAATCAGAAAAATTCTAAACTACCATACAGAAGGGAACAAACTTCAAAAGTTGAAAAAAAAGACATTGATAAATCAATTCGGTCAACAAAGAAAGCAATAAATTTAGCCAGTAAATAAAAATATGAGGATTTAAATATCATTTACTCATTACCGTTGACGAGCGCTCTTTTTGAAGCAGTAGACGTCGGTGGTTCCACAGAAGTGTTCTGAAACGACTGATTATTTAACTTTCTTACTCCAGAAATTTAAGAAATACAAATCTAAGCAAACAATTTCTTTCACGAATGAAGAACTTACAGCGAAAAAATTTGGTCCTGCGAATTCCACACAGCCATCATCTTCGATTCTTCGCCTTTTCATCACCACTACCTCGTTTCTGGAAAATGACATATTTCCCACTTCAATTTCCGGACCAGAAATGCAACCTAGACTCTTGGAAAAGAATAAACTATTCTCTACAGAAGCATGAAGAATTTATCTTTTATCCATTACTTTTTAAACTATACATTTGAGTCATTTATTTAGGCAATATAGTTTACTTAAAATAGATCGTTAAATCTATTCGCAGCAAACAAATATAAAAACCTAGATTCCATTGCCATCTGAATGATCCTTTGCAAAGTTTCATCAGTTAAATTGTCAACATCAATATTGTGCAATGCTAACTCCTCCGATGTGAACTGAAATTGCGAATGTACCAAAAGCGATAAGGTCGCAACAAAATAATACTACGGATGTTATATTATCCTGAGTTCCCAATTATTAGAATCATATATGATGTATGCATCACGATTTCCTGATAACCATTACTTTCCAACCATTGAATCACTAAGCAAAACCACTCAAGAAGATTAAGTTATTGGTATTTCGTAATTAATATCAATTATTTTTGGAATAATTAAGTCGAAGAACTCACAAAAAATTCCTTCTGAAATGTAGCATCCGTAAGCTTCAATGAGCCATCATCCAAAATGTACAACGTTAAACGATCGCCTGATTCGCATGAAGAACTGGGCATACTATTAGCATAAGATGCCTGTGGTATATCAGCTTGTTCTTGCTTCAAATCATGCTGCTGAGTTGAACCACTTGGTTCAATCAAGGACATGATTGTATTTATTTGCTCTTCAGTTAATTCACCTGAATTCTCAATATCGATACCGGCTACTTCCAATACTTCCAACGGAACCTGAAGTATGTAATCTCTTATGCTCAAAACATCAATTTGAATTTGAATCTAGCAAGTTTTGTATATTATATGCATTGTTAGCTAAGACATGCCGTACATAAAGATGTCATAAATGTATAAAGATATACGCATATGTTTCCATATCAAATGTTAGCTACGATTCATGATGAATCCCTTGATTCAAGAATACACTGAACCAGTAAAAGAACATTAACTATCGATGATATTTGACATGAGAACGTCGTATATCTTAGCAATGAACATACGTAGTGATGTACTTCCACAATTAAATTACTTTTACTTTAGAGCATAGATTTGTTGCTTACGATATTAGAACGTACTGTAGTATAACTCATCCCCGAGTCAGCCTCTTGATGTTGCTGCACCGATTCATGCTGTTCAATTCCATCACCCGAGACAAGTTCGACTGAACTATCTAAATTATCGGCTTCCGATATGATTATCGAATTGTCGTGGGATGTCATCATCAATAATTACTGATCATTGTGCCTGAAATTGCCACTGGTTGAATTTATCATAATAAAGGATTTATCATAAACTGTATTAAGCTAAAATCGAGAATAACATTTGGCGATTAGGGAATGAATTACAAAAATAATCGAGAATAACATTTGGCGATTGAGGAATGAATTACAAAAATCTCTTACGTTAACAACTGCAGCACTGATCGCCATAACTTTGTAACTTCGTTTGATTGCTAAAGATAATGAAACCGTGAAACCGTAGAACTAGCCGTAATCGTAAAACAGAGAGCAATACAAATCATTGATTTTATGAGTAATCTCTCTTAAAATATCATGTCACTTCTTTATTTATATATTTCTCCTGAAATATAACCCCACCAAAAAATCTAGAAAAACATAACAAATAACAACCCAGTGATTTTTCGTAATTGCTCTGTGGAAAGTTTCTCTAGCAAAAAGTAAAATATTCCATTTTTAGCAGCTGACATTATTTTAGCATTAGAGTCCATTAAGCAATTAATCTAACAACATTTTTAATCTTCTTCATTTTGCACGTAAATTTTATTTTATTTCATTTATGAATGCATATTTTTAGAAAACTATAATCAGTATCCAGAAAATCCTCCGGAAAATTCTCCGGAAGTCAACTGTCGCCAGTCTTTATGCTATTCATAATTTAAGCATTTACACCATAACCAACAATCGAAACTAACAGAAACTTCCAATTACTAATTTTGGCGTATCTGTCGTAACCGTACACCGGAATAACGAAAGAGATGCAACCGTCAAACTTCTGTTTAATTCATCGGGCAATCGTTTGATGACCTATGTCAATATGCGAAGTGATAACCTATGTCATTATGCGAAGTTATCTCCGTAGACTAGGTAGGATTTTCCAGAATATCTCGGGATATACGTGGAGATTTCAGCATGCAGAGTTATCTTCACAGACTAGGCAGAATTTTCGAAAATAGTTGATATAGTGGTGACTATCTTACGTTAGATTCTCTTGAAACTGTTAACTCATAATAACTACTTAATCATACAAATTTCCTGATCGCTTGTGCAACACATTGTACATACAACTTTCTAAAAATGCAATTATTTTAGAAAAAGTTCACATCACTCACTCTTTTGAGCATGTCGAAGTATTTGAAGGGTGGACAGTGTCCCCTCACACGTACACACACATCCACACAAACACATACAGACAAATACATGCACGCATACACACACACATACGGACATACTCGTCTACCTGAAAAAAAAAAATTCGAGAGGATGTCACAACCTGAAACGATAACACGTACCAAACAGTCCTATTTCCCTGTTCTATTTCCAGTTAATTTCTTAAGTCCTTTGCCTGTACCACTCTAAGATGCGAGTGAGTATACTTGTGTATACATGCATGCATGCATGCATACCTGTATTTGTGCGTGCATGTATCTGTATCTGTGTGTGTATGTCTGTGTGTGCGTTTGTCTATGTGCCTGTGTACTTTAAAGTGCAGTTCAGTAATGAGGAGTGCAGGGTGAGAATAATGGCGCTGTTGTCCGCTTTATTTCTCTATGATATGTCTATGCATCTGTTCGCGTGCGTGCATTTGGATGCACTTATCTTCCTCTTCTGTTATTTGTTTGTGCCATCGCTATCCATCTGTTCATATAACACTTCCTCTATTT